GCTGTCGCCGGCGCGAACCAATACACCTTTCATCTAGAAGCCACGGACAATCCAGGGGCCTTGATCAAAGACATTCGGGAGAACGGGATGAAGGTGAGGGAGCGCGGGCTTGGAGGGGCACGCTGCACTTGTCGGCTTAAACCGCCGCGGTTCTGGCAGGGAAAAACCCAGCTGCAGGTTCTGGTGGCCAGAGATTGGCACACACAGCCCTGACGCTCTTTGTGCACCACGTCAGGCTCCCATTTTAGTTTAAAAAACTAATCAGGAATCTTTCTTTAAAGCAGCCCGCCCTTACCGCGCCTACACAGACGCGTTGTTGTTTTCCCAGGAGTTTGTACCCAGCTCAAGGCAATCCTGCTGCGTTTGTCATTCCAAGGTGCGCTTGGGTTTGTCTTGCCTCTCTTGCAGGTCGGCTTGGCCATCAAGCCTGGCACCACAGTTGAACACTTGGCACCTTGGGCCAACCAGATAGACATGGCTTTGGTGATGACGGTAGAACCTGGATTCGGAGGGCAGAAATTTATGGAAGACATGATGCCAAAGGTAAACTAAAGTTTCTCTTTCCTTATTTATTGAGCTCAAAGCTAATCAACAGTACAGAGTGCTGCGGTGAAGCGAATAAACCTTATCTGGGGGGTGTAGGAAGTTACACATACCTGTAGCAGCTGAGCACGGATCTCACGCCAACCTTTCTCACCATTTCTCAGGTTCAGTGGCTGAGGACACAGTTTCCCTCACTGGACATTGAAGTGGATGGCGGAGTTGGGCCGGACACCATCCATAAGTGCGCAGAGGTAGGGGGCTGAAGCGGAGCAGCGTTCTCGGTCGCTGTGTTGAGGGACGCAGTCGTCCCTCAGAACACAAAGCTCAGGAGGAATCGTGTTTTGACCCTTTGTTTCCAGAGGGCCCAGAAAAGCACGCTTAATACCAACATCCACCTGCGGCCTAACCTTGTGCCTGTTTCAGTGTGGCCATGGACAGCTCCCCTGAGCTAGAGAAGTTGTTTGTTTCTTGCACGCTCGGCTAGATAGGAGCAATGACGAAGACATTACCTGTTTGGGGAAGAGCTGTCTTCTCTGAACTTGAATTGTGGTTGTAGTTAGAGGTGTGTTACCTACGTCCCGCAAGTAGTGCTCGTTTGCCCACCAGCCCAGAACTTGCCACCTCCTCATGTGTTTCACAGCCAGAAAACTCTCTGGGACGTGGATTTGCTCCGTGTTACTGAGTGGGTGTTTAATGTCTTCCAGGCAGGTGCCAATATGATTGTATCTGGCAGTGCTATTATGAAGAGCGCAGATCCGAGATCTGTGATCAATCTTCTAAGGAATGTGTGTTCAGAAGCAGCTCAAAAGCGCTGTCTGGATCGATGAGACCACCCGAGCAGCTCAAGAAGGCTCTGTGCGTGCAGGAGAACCCTTGTTTCTCGTGCGTAAGGGAGGGCTGGATGAACATTAATTATGGAAACTTGTTGCTGCTGAACGGAGGAATCATTCTTTCGCTGCCATGAAGCAAGCAGCAGTGAAAAACATTCTGGCTGTCTTTCAGGGGTGGAAATGCAGTGGTTTGAACCTGTCTCTTGATTCTGTGAGGCTAATTTTATGGCACAACCTGTAACGCTGACTGGATTGAGCTCCAGTCAGTTTTTGCTTGCTAGAAGAGTGTAGCATCACCCCGTGCAATCTCTCTCATGGAAGACTCTAATCAAACTGCCATCTGCTGTCTGTATTTTGTCATTTGATCTGTGCATTCCTACAAAACTTTTCCAGTACCTCCATTAAACACCCTTCCCTTGGTGTGGTAAGTCTCCTTTAAGCTGACTGTAAAAAATGAGTGGTTTTGGTAGTGAGTTTGGGGAAAATGCAGTTCAAGAGGGCTAAAAAAATCCCATGGATGTTAGAACTGTTCCTATGTTTTGCTTTTACTGCATAGCCACACAGTTCTCGTTTGCGCCGACGTCACAGCCTGGCCTGCTTGGGCACGTGACAGGGGACAGTTACCACCCAGCAGAGGCAGACCGGAGCAGGTCCTTTGGGATAGCCCTGCTTCCCGTGGCTCTAATTAGTATTGCTGATGCCTTTCATGTTTCGTGGTGTTCTTCCCTCTAAGTTGTAATTTCAGAATTGTTGCAAACAGTCTGCTGCCCAGGGCAACAGGCCAGAAGGCTCAACAGCTGCATCCCTGCCGTTTCCACAAGGCCTACGTCAAATCTGTTGTCCTGGCAGCAAAGCTGGGCACGTGTCACCTACGCAGTGCTAGAGCTGGTGCACCCCTTCCTTCTAAGCCCAGGACCTGCAAGGTGTCCCTGGAGAGGCCTCTGCTCGGCGGCTGTGGGAGGGGACAGCTGTGGTACCGCGTGGGTCACTGCTGTCGTTGCGCAGGAGGCGGCGGGGCTAGTTCAGACAATCCAGACAAGTCTCTGAAATGGCTGAACTGCTTTTTCCTGTGCGGTTGGTTGTGGTGGAGGTGAACAAATGCCTTTGCTTCCTGTTTCCACTTGCCACCCCATTTGAGCACTAGGCAAAAGAAAAGTGGAGTCACCTGGACCTACTGCACTGAAGACATCTTTCTGAAGAGCTTTGCCTACGGACGGCTTGGCTAGGAAAGGTAATAGTGCAAAGATGTGTTAAAGCAGGTTATTAGTACTTTGGGAAGAAGCGCTGTGTAGAGTGTAATACATTGTGCACAGAGAAGCAGGCATGGCTCTGGTGTCTAAAATGCAGGCTACGCGGCCACGCAAAAGGCTAGTTCAGGCTTTGGAAGTGTGGCTTCCACGCTATTGAAAGGAGCAGGACAAGAGCTGTAGTATCCTTACTTCCTGCAGCTGACCTCAAGCTGGTCTGAAAGGGAAATCAAACCATTTGTAGGTTTTTTTCTAATTAATTTTTTTTTTTTGAGGGGTGTGGGGAAGTCCCAAAGTTATGCCAGTTAATTGAAGGTACTGTGCTTTGTTCTGAGCATGGAACCACACAGGATGTTTTCTTTCACAGGTCGTAGCCACTTTGTCATTGTTTTTAAATCTGGGAGTTTGCACTCCCTTTGACTCTCAGGTTGGGAGTGTTGTGGGAGGGAAATTACACATACACAGTAAAATTAATTACTTCTTTCTGCCTAGACCCCGCCCAGGTGGGTTGTGCAGCCGGCTACTACTGCAGCAGCTTTTTACACATCCGAGGTTAAAGCTGCCAGTGACCACGGAGCATCCATGGCAGTAACAGTACTACTACTTGTTCTTTTACTGCTTGAGACTCGGCCAGTTTCTTGCCCCATACGTTAACAGCAGTAACCTCTCAGGTGCTCAGTGCACCTCAGCGGCAGGATTTGAACCAAATTTGTAGCTGACGTGAACACCAGCGTGCTGCTTGCGTGGTATCCGTGGGGCCAAGTAAACCCCAGCACCGTTGGATGTTGCAATACTCCGATAAAGCAAAGTTCCAGCAACACAGGAGAGCGCGGTCTGGTGAGTCACATGGGGCCCAGGGTGATGTGACAGAGCAAGGGCTCTGTCCGCGCTGGAAAACAGGATAAAAGAGACTGATCCAGCTGAGTAGGGCCGGGGTGGGACATGTGCTCCACAGGGTGATACAGCACACGTCCCTGAGCACAATAAAAAACTGCACTAGACACACATGGAGCTTAACTTTAATAGGGCTTAGAAGTTTGTGTCTGTACTCACAGTCCAGTAAGGGCCTGGACGCAGAGATGAGGCGTGTGAACCTCACAGCAGCAGGGAGCAGAACGTCAGTGGCCTTAGAAAAAGTTCTCCACTGGAAATGGTAAGCAAAGCGCAAGGGGATGGCTTGTTTTGTGACCCAAGTCTCGGGGTGGGGTGGGGGGGCCTTGCTGCATTATGGTTAGGGTGGTGTTTCACAGTCAGCCTTTGTGATACCGTCAGCCACATCAGCAGCAGCACTGACAGCTGGTTTTACAGCTTAACAGCCAAAAGAAAACAGCTTTTCCCCCTGTGTTGTTTAAAATTTTGTAAAGGAAGGAAGACAAGCAGGGGTTCCTTGCCCGTTTTATGGCTCCAAGCATGAGCCTGGCT